TATGGAAATATCGTGATACGAGTACTCATTCATTAACAGTCACTGTTTGTTTAAGAAGTGAATTTTATGTAGCTTATCTTATTATAATGTATATATTATGAAATATAAAAAAAAGAACTATGGAAAAAGGGTTGAACCTTTAAAAACAAAATAAAAAGAAAATGAAATTAAAAAAGAGGAACTAAAAAAAGAGTGAAAATAATTCTAACAAAATAGGATATCAATGCTAAAAAGTACTAGGACCATAAAGAATTAATTAATAATTAATTAATAAATACATAAATACATTCTATTTAAGTATATTGTTTTTATAAATGTATATATTTATGTATGACAGCGCTCCTCCACCTGTATCAAGAAAGATCAAAAAAGCTGTACGAAGAATGCGATACCCAGCAAATGATTCACAGCGCTAATAATGTGTACATTCAGATGCGTTTTTACATCAGCTCGTGCATCTATGTGTGTGTTCTGTATGTATGTTACAAGTTTCAATATAGTATAAAGAAACTTTTGCACGTAAATTGATCACGTCAATGTGGTGGTATACCAAGCATTTATGTAATATAGTAGCCAGTTGATGGGATATGCTTGAGTACATCCACTTGTGTTCTACAGGAAGAACTGTAAATTTTAAATTATTTGAATTATACACCTATAATGAAGAAAACAATTTGAAGTTGGCATGAAGCCAGTTTTATTAATTAGACGCATTGTAATGTTGTTACATTACTAGAATCTTGCCCAAAAAAGACGATATAATTACTAAAATGACATAGCAAATTAACTTGCTGAAACATGAAAAAACTCTTGATAAAAAAACTAATAAGCACTAAAGCTGATGTGCAATTAAAGGGTTTTTAGCGAAGGAGTGGCAACTCCTCAGGTAAGTATAAGTCATTTACAGCTTGCGACGATGACATTATAGGAAATAATTGGGGTAATTGGTTTCTAAAAACTTTTACATTTTGAAATTTCTTTCTACAAACACTAGCAATAAATCATATATATTCATTTATGTTATTACATATATGTAACATAATTGTCACTATGTGACAATCAAGTATTTGGAAGAAATAAGATCGTGTGAAATCTTGTATATGTAAACATATTTACATTCAAAAAATAATGACACAAAGAAAGTTTTGTAAAGAAATGTACCTCGACTATTTCGTATGATTACATGTTACAAGCACTGTGAATTGGCTATATATAGATACATACATATATATATGTGTGTGTATATATATATATATATGTGTATGTGTGTATGTATACGTATACATATATCTATAATATATATATATACATACATATATATATATATATAAATCCCATACAAATATTAATTTAGAAAAATTTAACATAATATTTTAATTAGAATTTCATGGGCAGGCCTACAACTTTGTAGTACTAGTCCACGAGAAGTGTAAATTACACCAAAATGGCATTCGGACAGTACAAATTCGCGATTACTAAACGTTTTATTGAGTAGTCGAAATTGTATATTTTTTTTATATATCGAATGAAATATTCCTATAAGAAAATACTGAATGCCATTTTAATAGGCTTATATTATAATAATGTTGCGTGTTTTACAATAGAATGAGTGAGAAGGATTTGAGACAAATGTTGAATGAAAATAAATTATTATGGGGCTTCTAAAAAGTTACATATTTGATCACGTTTATTTTTCTTTTTATATTCACAATTGCTTCTTATTTCTATATTTTTTTCTTTTTCCTTTTAAGATTATTGCTTTATGTGCTACAATTAACAAAATTATAGAAAAGAATATTAACCTCTTAGAAGCTTCTTAGGAAAGTTTAATTTTTTAGATAAAAGTGGAGACAAAATTCTTTGATACTTCAAACATAGATAAAACACTGATAAAAAGTTTTATATTTGTTAATTAAAGCACAATATAATTATGTTTAATAGTTCTATCGTTATGGATAGTCAGTTTTTATGAAATCTAAAGATAATATCTTTTGTAGAATTTTTACACTATATGATAACGAATTATTTAAGAAATTAAATATTTTTATAATATGCATAATCCTTTAAGTGATATTAATTTATGTAAATCAAACTATTAACGTATTGTTATTTGTGAGGTTAACATTTTATAGACTTTTCTTTTTAGAAGTCCCTAAATCAGAAAGTAGTTAGATGACGTGTAATGATAATTATTGAATCGATATTCAGTCATGCACGTCCTATTTAAGATTATAATAGTTATGTCTATAATGTTGGCTTAGAATTGACAGTAGCCAAGAATAACTCGGCACATGACCCATTCTGCCATAATAGACATGTATGTAAAAATGGTCTGTTACTATTGTTACTCTATACGTTGTTGTGTAATACTTACTTATAGATATTAGAACAACTTTTAAGTTCAGGATATATATTAATAAGAAATATCAATCATGGATGCAGTCTTGTGTACATGTTAAAGCTAATTTTTTTCAGTTATTGAGTCAGTGTCATTTTCAAATGTACTTCTTTATATTATAAGCAATATTAACTAAATGCATTATAAAAATACAAACGGGTTATTTTATTTTATTCTTTTGTAGCATTGATACACATTTATTCTTGGTGAGAACTATTCAATGAATGCTAGTATTTCAATAATTATTCTGTACAGTAAACAGTGCTGTAGATCTAGATGTACTCTATCCATACAAATTATGAGATGTAAAGGGTTATTGTACGAATAAATATACCTATGCGTATATATACATTCATACATATATACACATATACAAAATACATATGTATGCGCGTATGTATGTATGACTAAAAACATTTGATTTAAACCATTATGATACGAACATGGTTAGCAATGGTGAAGTGAGGCTGAGCTGAGCTATATCTGTGCTGCTGTCTTATACTGTGAACATTCTCTGTCGAGGCTGTGTGGTCTATTTGTCTATAACTAGGCAAATTTCGAAATTAAACAATATATCAAATACTGCTTAAAAGAAACAGCATCTTTGTATTAAAACTCGTATATGGCCTTAAAAATACATAACGAGTCTATGAAGTAGATATATTAATGATTATAAAGTGAATGATATTGGAATTGTTTTGTAGCACTTTGTACTCTCCATTGAAATATGTTTGTATAAATATTTGAAGAGCACTACATTAAAATGGTTGAACAGTAGATATATGTAACAACTCATAACTGATAGGATTACTTATAATGAATAAAATATGGTATTGGGGAGACTAGCGAGATGAATTTTTGCATAGAATTTTCAAATATCTTAATGATTTACAATAAAAACGTTAAAAATTACACCTATAATTATTATCAATACATGTTCATATGAACATTACTTTTTTAAATAATATAACGTAAACCTCATATATAATTGTTTTATTATTTCTCTTGTATACAAGTATAAAAGAGAAATATACTTTCATAACATAATTATTTAATATATTAATTGTGTTAAAATTCTTATGTTTAGCATAATAATGTTATTAGTTATGAGATGTTACAGTGAATTACATGTTCTGAGGCCTTATTACAATCTTAGTCCATTAAATTATGTACTGTACCGAATTCACATGAATGTCTGTTAGGATTCTATTGAGAATATATTAAGCAATGATTCAATGTTCACGAATGAGAGAGTTTGTTATAAAATAAATCCAATGACTGACTATAATTAAATAAAATAAACATGTGAGAGAATGTTCACTGTTTGCTTCAGGTGCTATGAGAATGTAATTACATGCTCATGACATGGTGTAATGTTAGATGATATAATGAAACAAGTTGGTGTTTCTCAACCAATGAATTTGAAAATTAATTATAGTGGTTAACGTGCAAAATGTAAAAAGTCGTTTTAATTCGCACAAACAGAGCTCATAAAATACGCTTAACAAACGATTGATGGATGTTCTTTTCCAATGTTACACATTAAAAATGTAATATATGTAATCTTCAAAATAATAACCATCAATTTCTTCCTTTAAGTAAAAACAAAATGCATCGTTATGGTAAATCACCTAGAACTTGAAATTTAAATATTTCGGTTGCTTGTTACAATAGAAAAGAATTTCTAAAGAAGAATCTTGGATTCTAAGAGGCTTATATATGCTAATAGATATTACTTGAAGATTGTATCTTTTTAAAATATGAGGATTATTGACATTTCTTTAATTAAAACTTGATATTTTTGCTAATATAAAAGTTGTAGACCAGATGAAGAGAAGTTCAAAATATTCTTTACCTATTGCATTGTGATCACTATGAAATATGTCGCTTTTCGAAATTCACGAATAATGCAAATTCTCTTATAGTATTGCTCGTTTAAAATATTAAATTGATCTCGATTTTATATTTTAATTTTGAAATTTATCTTGATCTGTTTTATAACTTTCTTATAGGCAATAAAATCAAATTTCGTCTAAAAAAATGTCAATAATCCCCATATTTAAAAAAAATATGACTTTCAAATAATAGTTTTCAAACCTGCTATATAAGCACTTTCAAATCAAACATTTCTTTAAAAGTTTTTTTCTATTATAAATAATCGAGATATTTACATTTTCAGTTTTAGGCAATTCACTCGGTATATACGTTAATTTCGCAAAATACATAAATAGAATATAAGAAATGAAAATAACGATAATCATAGTAACAAAGATAATAATAATGTTTGAACTATATGAAAGATGGGATCTTTTGTGGACCAGAAGCACAGAACAGGATTATATCAGTCTCAACTATCTCAATAGCTCATTCTTTTATCCTTTATTTTTATCAAATAAAGGTGACATTGCCTTAATAAAATAATACTTGCGATGGTCAAGGACTATTGAGCTTGTGTTGAGAAACACCCTTTAGTAGGGTATAACTCTACATTAACATAATTACCATTACCATTCTTAATAATATCCTCTACTGTAATCCATAATAATTGTATCTCATACGATATTAGGATATATGAAAAAATTAACTGAAAACAGTAATGTTGTTTATTTTCCGTTGACAATTTTACTTTATTTCTAAATGTGTAGCGTTTCTAGAAGTCTATTCTCCGTAACGAGTATGAATCAAAGAATTTTGATATTGCGCACGTATGCATAAATATGTAATTGTTTGAATAATGGTGGATTTTTCATTTTCTTTTTTATATATGGTATCGGAACAGAGTAAGTTAAAAATGCGCACATATTGAAATGCTTTGGTTTACAAACTATGGAACGATTTAAAAGAATAATTTAAATTCAATTGCAACCACTGATATTTACATAAAGTATGTCAATTTAAGAATTATTTTTTTTTAATTTGTTTCTTTATTTCTATAAGTAACAGGCTCACTCATTGACAGTTCCTTGATGAAATATATAAAGTGAGAAATTTATATCGTGACTTATATAAATTCGTGTTCTCCACCATCCTGAATTTTTGTGTATATTATTTATTTTTATAAGTTTTTATTACATAGAAAAGCAGGAGCTTGATTAATATACATACAACAAACAAAGACTATTTTCCTTTGAATAGTTTCATTTACAAAACGGCCTCCATTTGTTACAAATACTCTAAAGAATACATAACAGGAAACTAAATTCTAACATTTTCTTTAAAGCATTATATTCGAGAACATTCGTTTAATAAATATTAAATGCAATTTGCAATAATTATGTTATTAATGATTACATTATTTACTATAAAAACTACTTTTATAAAGCATATGCATTTTTACGCAAAGACATAAGAAATGCTACTTAGTCCTTTTTGTTACATAGATGTACAATGACTATGTGAAATAAAAATTATCTAAAATTATAAGATACATCATCGATATGTTTAATTTGTTGGTTATTACAGTTTGCATTCTACACAAGTCTCTTTTTTATTACAAAAGATAAAAATAGATTCATACATAGATTGAAGACCATCAAAGTGACTGATGATATATTTTATCATAATGATTGTTTAAAATCTATCAATATAGCTATACAATGTTACATGTTTACATAATCATCAAATATAAATTATGGGATCACGTCATTATTAAGATACACACAATTAAATTCTAGTATTCTATAGTATTCATTGTTTTATGTTTAAACATATTTAACTTACTTCAAAGTCAGCAATGGCCATCAATTATGCATGATATAAAATGCTAATGTCATTAATATTTGTATTTCTACAGCAATAACATTCTCTGTAAAATACCAAATGACAGAAAAAGCATTGTAAATAAGTAAATTATTGCGTCCACAAATTTTTCTTGAATTTTACTTTCTTAATTCACCAGACAAACATGTGTGGGTAATTAGGTGAGTTAATGGTGATAAAGAACTGGATTAAAACTTGTGGCACGAATTTTATTCCGAGATTTACAACAAAAATGTTCCAACTAGTTAAAATGTCGCATAATCGTGGGATATGAGAAACATTGACACGTATTATAACATAGGTAATACAAGATGCTGTGGACAATTCAGATATACAATTTAGTAGTTTGCATTAAACCGATAGAGTTTATTCACTTTCTATTTACTCAGTGTTGCATCTGTGTGTTGGATAGGCCTCTTGTGCTTCCTAGAGAGGTGGATTCACTAATTAATTAATAAGACTCGTCAGCTGATAGAGAAACAGCTTGACCTCTCTAGGCAGCCCATATTCATTTGCTATTATATCACTTCTATCACGATATTATAATTTAGGTACAATTTTAATTATTCAATATTAATGAGAATATTAATAATTATGTTTTATTTTTTGCATGAATTAATTATAGGTTGTAATTATAATTATTTTATAAAGTTTCTTACACTAAGAATCATCAGACATGAAGGAATTTTGGGATTTTAGTTCCTCCAATGTTTGAATTTGTTGACGGAGGAATAATATCCTGAAATGTGTGAAAGATTGACTTAATTGTGCTCAGGTGTGAATATTTAAACGAATTTTTATCGGAAAAAATGCAAAACAAATGAAGAAAAGAGAAGAAAAAAATGAAGATGATATTTTGTAACAATATGTACAAAATATTTACCTTTGTTCCTGTAGTGTTGCCTGAATTTCTGTCAGCCTCACTATCGATCGTGCTGTTTTCAATTCTGCAGATACTCTTGTGCACTGCAAACTGCCCATTGTATGTGCTTCCTCACTAAGTTTTTGTGCCTGAAAGAAAATAATAAGTGATTCTTATTATCTATACTTCTTATCAACTATACAAATCGTGTAAGATTTACAAATGTCAATTACAATTATAGTATAAAAAAATTATTTCTCATAAATTACCTGTTTCTCAAGAATATCGGCTGGAAAGGCACGCACATGTTGTGTTAAATCTTCTCGATAATGATTAGCAAGTGATGGTGTTAAAGAAGGTGTTAAAGGAGGTTGTACTCTAGACAATGCTTGTAAACCTCCAGTATTACTCAAATTTCCAAGAGAACCTAACGTACTAAGACTTTGCAATGAGCTTAGACCTTGCACTCCAGAATTCGTTCCACCAGGACTGGTTACTGTAAATGAACAGTAATACAAATAGAGATAATTGTTCATTTATTAGAATATTAAAAGTAATACTGGCTAAATCCACAAAATATAATAAAGTCCTAAACAAGCACGTGACTTTTTATTATATATTTAACTTTATTTTTAACTCTTTCCCATCGAAGTTCGGAGTATTTTCAGCACGAGCGCATGGCTGTTTAGGAAGTGAACTCTAAGTAGCTTATCTTACTTATTGTACTGTATATACATTATTATATGCTGTGCATATGAGATATAGACAAAGTATGAACCTCAAATTCTTAATCTATAAGATTAGGATTTCCAGGCAATAATTCATTTAGCGTACATCATTTGTTGTGCAAGCAAAACTAATATCGATCAATAGAATACCCATGCTTACAACTATTATGATGGGCAAAAATTAATTTTGAAACTTACATTTTCGAGCATCGATACAATCCTGAGTTTCTGAATGGGTTGGAGTAGGTGGTCCCTCACTGGTAGTATTGCCACTAGTATCAACTTTTAATGGGACCATTACATCATTGCCACTGTTATTTCGGTCTCCACTAGCTGATTGCTAAAAATGTACAAATGAATATATGACATTTCATTATTCTTAATCGTAGATAAGAGTGATTTAACATATTACTTAAAATAAGAACTTACTTGTCTAGATAGCAAGATAGCTGTTTGAATTGTCTGTAACGCTTTCTGCGGTGTAATGTCAGGTTGTTCTTTGCTGCCTGTAATTTGAGAAAGAAGTCTTGGTAAACTTGCTAATGAAACTGGTGGTCCTGGAGCATTACTATTCCCTTGTTGTTGGGTTGGTGAACTTAATTTTCCAGGTGTTTGTGGTGTCGATGGTGGATGTGATGTTAATCGAGGTAATGCTAACAAGAGAAAAAACAAAATAATAAAAAGAATGGAAACCAAATCGTATCTATAAATTACATTATTATATTTGATAATTTCAATTTAGACTTAATAAAAACATACCAGTGGCCAATAGAACAGGACCTTGCGGCAGTGGATCGTGAGCACAGGATGTTAAAGGTTCAGAAGTTGGTGTAGAATCACCAGGTGAAATATCCATATCTTGAGCTTGACGTTCTGCTCCTGTTTCTTCCCTGCAAGAATCTCTTTCCCTTTCTCGTTCTCTCTCCCTTTCCCTTTCTCTCTCCCGTTCTCTTTCTCTCTCTCTTTCTCGTTCTCTCTCTCGTTCCTTTTCTCTCTCTCTATCACGCGTAGAAACTTCTTCTCTATTGCTACCGCCACTTCCACTACATGAACTCCAATATTCCCGCTTGTCAGATTGCCGGGATGATTTACCATCTCGCAAGCTGCTACTGCTATTTGATCGCGAGTTGGAATGTTTATCATGACCTATAAAATAAAAGTTGTGTCTATTTAATCAATGCAGACATTATTGTTAAGCAATTTAATTTATAGTACTATTATTTATTTATGAGCGACAAACTAAAACAATTTTTTCGATGTAAGTTTAATTTTATTTAGTATATGAAATATCAAAGAGGAATCATATTATTATGTATAAAATTATAATCTTTAAAATCTATTACAATATTTAACACTTTTTAAAATAGATTACTTATGATTTTTTATATTATAACTTTTTCTTATACAAAAGTAGTTTCTTGAAAATAGAAATTAACTAACAAATGAAAAACAGACTCACTTGACCTAGAGGAGTAATCATTGGATTGGCGTTGACGATTATCTGTACGAATAGTCCATTCACGTGGTTTTTCCCACTGAGAAACTTCTGTTTTGCAATTATAATAATACTTCTTTCCTGAAGAACTCATATGCTCTGACCAATCACCAAACCTGGCTGTTCGTTCCATCGCACCTCGTTCATCACCACGTTTATCCTAAACAGACTGTTCTAAAATGTCCGGAAACAATTGAATCTACTACAAATATATGTATGAATACCAAAATTTTAACGAAATTATTTTTGTCCATGTAATCTTGAACCTGTTCACCTATTATTTATTTTGAACTCTTATGAAATTTTCTCGATCTAATTGACATATCATTATTAAATTATTTATTGTAACTTCTATTATAAATGCATTATGCAAGAAAAATATAACTGCAAAAATATGTGATATATAATAATATAAAGTAGATTTTATAGCTACTACACACAAATATCTTTGTATCAAATAAAATTATCATTGGTTACTGACCTGACAAGAATTGTGAGCTGGTTTTCTCTGAGATGAAGAATCTCGTGATGAATTTGATGATAATTTTATGGGATGTAAGATCTATAACAAATATGTATAATCAATTTTTATAGATTTACATTTTTCCATTTTATTGATTAACAACAATGCTGTGATATAATACAAATCATTTAATTGAAAAGACGCATAATGAGAATATTATAAATTAGAGATTATTATAAAAATAGAATATATATTAAATATCTAAACTGATCTCTTACCTCTCCACTACTCCTATCGTGGTTGGTCCTGTGTTCTGAATCCCTGCTCTCATGGCTTCTCTTGTCTTTTGGTGATCGTGCACAATCTACACATATGCAAGCAAGCATTTTACAGCTGAAAATGTTAAGACACAACCCTGTTTTTATACTGAAGAAAGAAGTAGTATGATTGAATGTTTTGAAATAAAAGAGTCTACAACGATGATAATCTTCTATTCTATTTTTTCTTTTTAAAAAAGATCTCTATTCTTGAAGTTAATACATATTAATATAAATTGTTGTTACATAAATATGTTTATCAAATTATGTTACATCATATAAATCTTTATCTAAAAATATTATTTTGCATTATTATTTCTGTAATTAATATTTTATAAATAGAGTAAAAATTTCTTAAGCACAAAATGATATATATAATAAATTTTAAAGAAATATGTTTACCGGAATACTTGTCCCTAGAGGAGGATAATTTATAGTCTCTATTTTCTCTCTCCTTCTTATACAGGGGCTTGGAGGTATAACTCCTGGGGCTGTCTCTGTCTGCTCCCATTCCCAATCCCAAGCCTCCTGCTGGACTGTAAGAATTGCCATTTGGGGAATCACGCATACGCCCTTCGTAGCGACTATCCGACGACGTCGTCGATGAAGAATAGCCACCCTTAGAACTGCTGTACTTTGCGTTCTATAAATAAATGTTAACAGCAATTATGTATACATTACAAATTACCAATTATATTATAAGTGCTATAATTTTTTATGATAATAGCAACAAAAAGACAAAATAGTCAAATTATATTCGAAGATTAAACTAAAGCTTTGATATATAAGCTTTTTATTGATAAAGCATTATGTCAGAATTTGTAATTAAAGAAATGTTTTGCAAATATAAGTTAGTAAAGATCATAAGCATAAAGCATAATAATAATATTTAAATATCACAATATCTTTTCTAAATAAAAAGTTCAAAAATATTACAAGTATTGATTTTTCTAAAAGAAAGGTTATGTTTACAAGTTATTGTAGAATCTTTTGCCTTGCATTACTTACTTCATAAAAACAGAGAAAATTGATCATTAGATAAAAATGAACTTCTAATGAGTACAAAATACTTTTATAATAACTGATTAATCAAATTTTATATGAATAAAACTCATTCTCTGAAATAATATAAAAACAAGAAACAGAAAAAGAAAATAGAAATAAAATAACAGTCTAAGAAAATCTGATTTGCTGAAAAGGAAATAAAGCTTCCACAAAAAGATTAATGTAAATTGTTTATATTTCTCATAAAATTTATTTTTGTAGAACGAGTTATATCATTGATCTATGCAAACAATATTTCATTAAATAAAATATTACAAATAATATTTAAAAGGAAAGTAAAAATAGAAATATTAAAGGGTCAAAGATGATTAAAAAACATGGTAACAATGATTTCGCGATAAATAATGTTCTGGAATCGTAATTTAAATACTATATAAACAAGTTATAATCGAAAAAAAGAATCAATAATGAAGAATCATGTACAACACTTTAACCATAAAATTAAAACAAGCGTTTATAGAATATCCATAAAGTATATTCCAAGAAATGTTTATTGAATGACGCGATGCAGAAAACATGTTACGTTACGATTCGATAGAAAGATTTTCTGCTTTCGTACATTTTTTTTCACAAAAGAAATATAAATCATTCCGAATTATCGACAAGATAAAAAAAAGAAAATTCGAATAAGATTCTTACTAATGTTAAACTAGCACAAATGAGACGATTGAAGGAGGGAAAAATAAAACGAGTACGTCTTATGTGACACAGTACGCGCAACAATAATCGTATAAAATCGGACTCTCACAGGAACGGAGGACAAATAATTGCGGTAAATTGATGCGTGTCAGTCGTGTCATCGAAAAAATACCTCCTTTCGTACCCCTCTCCTCTTAAAGAGAGAGAGAAAGAAAGAAAGAGAAAAATAGAGACGAATATTTACCTGGTAGGGATGGGCCTGGTGCTTTTCGAAGTACCTGAAACGATAGACAATAGTTGGTGAATAAAGGCGCGAAATAGCGTCATTTCCAGGACAGAATCAAAGATCTTCCATCGGGGAAATGCATCAGTGAGAATAGTGGTGTGTATCACGGAGAGAGCGGTATAGAGTGGTTCGGACGGACGGACGTCGGAGATGAGAGGTGAGGTGAGTAGTAAGAGCGAGAAAGAGAGAGAGAGGTTGGTTGTGTGTCAGGATCGAGTATTTGACGCGGTGGTGCCCTACCCATCGCTGATCCTTTGTGGTTTCCTCGCATGCATTACCATCAATGCCGGTGTCTGTGGGAAATTCGCGGCCTCGGATGTTCCCTTTTCGGTCGGTCAGTGTCATAAAAACAACATTAACGCTTATTTAACAATCAACTTTCTTCCTACCCGGACGCCATGTCACATACGTGATCGGCCGCTAGCGGTAATCACGACCAAAAGGCTGGAGTAACGTCCGTGCTCAATGCGCGCGCGCATTTATACTCCCTCTTTGAGTTGTAATACTCAATACCGTAACTAGTTGTCGATAGTTCTTTCATGGAGATTCAAATAGCACTTTGCTGAATTACGAAAATGTAAAAAATATGTAGTTACTTTTCATATATCATGCAGTGGTTATTAAATACAAAATTTATATACTCGATATGTAATATGAAACTAAAGTTGAAGGATGGTTTATGAAAATTTCATGAACTTGGATCTTAAATATATATCGCCATTACTGGAAGTTGGTTACGATCACGCCGGCGTTATATTATCCTATTTAACTTCGTGAAACATCGCGTTTTTTGAAGCAACTTACGCTTAGGAAATCTATCGTTCGGTTGCCCGTTGCTCAATTGAATAGACTATGGTACAGAAAAGTGAATGGGATAAATCATTAAAAGAAAACGCGGTATCGTAAGTGCGGGCAAAGAACGAGATGGAGATGACGGAATTTGAGGAACGTATGAACCATTATTACTGTTATTTCTACCATCGCATCACAACGCTGCTACCACTAGGTATTATCAATATGAATGTACAATTTGTTATTCTTTCATCGAAACTGCATACGTATATAGAAATTTGTTTTTTTATACATGTTTGATCAAAGAAAAATTTTGGATATGACGTAACTGTTACACATACAAATTTTCTTCTATTATTTTGATAAGGAACTTTTAACGCGTTAAGAACTTCATATCTCGATGTATTCTTTTGATATGACAAAATGGAGATTTTGCAATTGTGGAAGACATCGTTGATTATAGTTTGTAAAGAATTAAATTTAATTTTGATTACATAGTGCAAACATACGTGTACATGTACACGTACATTTTTTATTTTTCTTATGATTTTGTTTTTACCATTATTTTGGTGATTCTTTTAATTTTTAGGAAATAGCACAGTGTATGTAAAATATAAATATTACCAGATCTTTAGTTTTTTCTCAAATTATTACAGATTGATACTATATAATTTATTTTTTTTTGATTTTGATTATAATATTATGTTTCCAAAGTACAGTTTTAATGTCTTTACTTTAAATAACACATTTACAAAAGTATTATTTCATGACAAGAAAAAGACATATTTTATTGATGTATAAAAATTATAATAGAGAATTGGGAAATTATTAGAGTGAGGACACATAATAATAAATATATTTATAAATTATTGAAAGATATTCATGTATATATATATATGTGATGCAAATGATATTCCAGGAAAGTCATATTAAAGAAAAGATAAATAAAAAAGAGATCCAAATTTGTACCATGTGTAAAGTTAACGGAGATGATTGATTTTTATAAAAATAATGAGGAATGTATTTCTTCAATTAAAAAGAAAACTAAATAAATGCAAAATACTTAGAATACTACAGAATTCTGTTAAAAAAAAATACAAGACACTAAATAACTCAAAATATAAATAGAGATGATAGTATAAATAATTTTTTTGAATTACATGAGTATAATTATTTCACTGACAAAAAAAAGTAAAAATATTAAAAAGTATAAAAATCCAAAATAGAAGTGGGATTTTAATAAAAACATGATATTTTAATTTTGAAATTAACAAAAAGACAGCTTAACATTTTACATTTATCAATAGCTTTAAAATTTGTTAGTTAAGGTTTTAAAGATTTTACTGATTTTTAAATATCTTAAAGAATATAGAGAAAAAAAACTTAATATCTTCATACAATATTTCTTTTAATGAGAAGATACAAATATAACAATATTAATTGTTTGAGTGCTGACAAACGTCATCACGTTCCTCTGCTATTTTACCAAAAATGCAAAGACTATTTAGATTTAGATATTACTCTAAATAAAAATTAAATAAAAATGATGTGAAAAATATTTACATTAAGGAAGATACAAATATATTAAATAAACAAGATAGATTAGGAAACTCACAAAGTTCTCTAACATCTTTGATCAATCATGGTAGTTTCTGTAATATTTGTAATTTTTGTGAACAAAAGCTATATCTTGGTCTAATTAAAAATTGTTTAATGTATTTTTGTTGATCAATTTTTCAGTATGATGAAATCAATTTAAAAAGTTAAGATATGTATTTTATCAATAGTATTTAAAATATTTCATACTTTATATAGCATAATGTGTACAAGTTTTTTTATTACAACAGAAAAGCAAGAAATCTGCAAAAACAAATTTTTTATTGTCTCACTATGGGTTAATTTTTCATCTGCCATAACATGTTTTTTGGTATAAATATGAAGTAAGAAGACACAATGATTTGATGTATATAGATAGTATGTAATTCATAGCACATAGTTCCAAAATGAAATTATTGAGAACTATTCTGGAAAAAAAAAAAAAAAAAAAAAAAAAAAAACCTATTTCTATTAGATTTTTACAAAGCAAATATGAGAAGATACATTGACTTTATATTATTTGTTTTATATTAATTATATTATCAATAGCTTGTGTTTTATATTCATATATGTAATTGATTGAAATGCATTAAATATAAGTATTTTTTGTATAACATCAAATTTAATCATTGTAAGTTTATAGCCGATAATAATACTTAAAATATAATATCTTCGTTTTACTATTGCAGAATAAGGTAATATAATACTAATTTATAATAAAACCATAAACTATTTTAAAATATTCAAAAGAAATAGATTATTACATTTCATTTCATCACCTTATGGAACATTTGTAGTTCGAGACTTAGGCTATTTTTTCATATGAGAGTGTAGCTTATTATTATTATTATTATTATTATTATTATTATTATTATTATTATTATTATTATTATTATTAATATTATTATTATTATTATTATTATTATTATTATTATTATTATTATTATTATTATTATCTTTTTACGTAACTAGAACTATTAGATTTATTTGTTCAAGTTACATAATAATTAAATAATGAAAATACATGTGTGTCTCTGTGTGCGTGTGTGGAGATTGGTAAATTATATTTTTTTGGATATAGAATAGGAATGGTAAGTTTCAATTCTTTTTTCCTGAAAAAAGATAACATTCAATAAAATGAAAAAGAATATATATGTGTTTACAATATGCTATTTTCATATTAAGCTATTTGATAATATAAATAGAAGTTATTCTTATATTATGTCAGAAGCTATAATGTTTGTACAGATATATTATCTAATAAAAAATTACAGGTTTAAGATCAGACATTGATATTTGATATTGAAGTAGTGTTAAAAAGTTGTATATATTTAATTAATTAATATTAATAACTTAAATTTATATTAACGCGTGTTGACTGCCATGTCATCCGATTTGGGTGACGGTTATATTGCCTGATCGCTAATGATCTTAAGTAGGTATTTTGAAGGATAGTCAACAGGATCTAATAAGACTAATAAAATATTATTGACTATAAATAGTTCAATTTAAAAAATTATTTTGAACGTACAGTTGTGAAACATGGCAAACACAATTGAAGTTGATTAGGTCAGGCAATAAATTATTTTCCTTTGCATGTTTGTTTTGCTTTTTACCAGTCCATGGACTAATAGTATTTAGTACTTCCTTGAATGAGCCAGCTATTCTAGAAAGAAAAAGTGAGTTTTTCTGTTCACTAAATTCTTTTACTAAATTCGCCATTCTTAATTACATTCTTGTCGATACTATCAATTTCAATTTCTTCTTTAATAAACAATTCTTGTAAAATTTATTATAAAATTTGTTTATTAAAGTATTAAAATATCCACATCTGAACATAATTGACTATCACTATTATGTCTGTCTAACATCCAAATCAGAATCTAATAATGTAATATTATGTAATATACCTTTTCTTGAAAAACTCAATTTTTTATCATTTTCATAAGTTTTTGTAAACATTGTAACAAGTTTTTTCTTTACTGCAGTCTGATTCACTAACAATCTGAACTTTTCTTATTTTCGACATCATAACAACTAGACAAACTAATTTCAAAAATTATAGCATTTAATACACTTTGTATACTTGGGACAATTCATTGACTAAATGTAGACTGAGCTTTGCATCTTTATTGTGTTTGAATATGATTTTGTACTATTTCGATAGTTTGTTTTGTTCATAACAGGTGCGGTCTATTGGAATTTTCCCAAAATTTTTTGTAACAGTCAATGTGTTAAACAAATTAAAACAAATATTTATATACATATGTTAAATGTTTTTTGTATTTTTTGTATTATATTTATTGAATCATAACATTCACGTGAATATGGATGCATTTGTAGATTGCTATACAGTGTAATCAGTGATAACAATTTGTTCTAAATCTTTATTATTATTAAAATTTAACCGTCCGACTCTTTCAGAACAAAATTTAAGTGTACGGTCGGCAAAATTATCTGTATTTTAAAAGCCGTACTTTTTCTAAGAAAATTAATGTATTTCTCATAAAAGATATTATTTTTAAATAATTAAGTTTATATTGTTTTTATTTACATGAATGTTGAAAAACATATTGATGTGTCGCCGGACGGTTAAGTGTTACAAAGATCTTGTTTATTTTTATATTTGCGTATTTTATTCACTGATGATTTTAAAATTATACATCTTTTAGATTATTTTTTTACTTCTACTACTATTCTCTAATTCAATAGTGATTTATTAGCCTTTCCAAAATAAGAATTTGTTCTTGTTGAGACAGATTTCATTCTTCTACATAATCAAATTTTACATCTATATTATTCAATGTGTCCTAATCACCATGTTCATTTTACTTCACTTTTATCTTGTCTTTGGAGTTAAATTGAAAATTTATTTTTATACTTTTTTACTTGAAGACTCTAGTTTTAAATTATAGATTTTCTTGTTACTTTCATCTCTTTCATATATTTCATTCTCTAGAGAAATGCTTTTTTCCTATCAGTTAGTTAATCATTTACAACGTTATTTTTCTTTAATTCTAAAAATCTGCTATCATTATATTTTATCAGAAATATTCATTATTATAAAATTTTTTTATATTTTTAAGTATTATGTAGCGTCCTGAAAAGAAAGAAAATAACCATTATTAATATGTTTTATTTAAATCACAATGCAGAAAAACGCAATAAATAATGTTATAGATCATAACTACATCTTTACACAAATATAAAATTATTAATAGTATTATTTTGTATTATACATATGTATGAAATAATGGCTTTTTATGACTTGTTTTTATTTCAATTATATTTTTATTGGGGAATATTCATTTATATCCTATTATAAAATTAAATCTGATTATGAAATTGATTACCTTTCTTATATTCCATTAACTTGAAATGGTTTTTATATCTTGTTTGTTCTCTTTATATATATGCTTTTATTACTACAAAATTGTACAAGTACTTCACAAATTCTTGTATTAAAATTATATTATAAAGGAAATTCTGCAACATTTGATTGAAATTTTGACACTTTAAGTAATATGCCATTCAGTTAATGCAAAAACTTAGGCAGTGGTTCAAAGGAAATAACTGTAGTAGCAATAATTTAATTTTTTCATTATCATGCTATTATTTATTTTTCTGTATAGATGGTATATAAATAAGTAATACACATACATAAGGTTTGATTATGGATGTAAGGGAATATTTTTAATAATTTTTTTGTAACATTCAACTCTCATTAGGATACAAAATTATTTACAGGATAACAAAATCTGTAAAAAGTTCTTATGTTATTATTGAATTTAAGATAGATATTATGGCGATAATGATACAAATTTTTATATATATATATATATAAAAATATCTAAAAAGTGTTCCATAGAATGTCTGCAAAAAATATCAATTAAATACCATTTATATGATAAATTAATCGTAAAGAAAATATTTCCTTATGATTATCTAAAATATATACCAAAATAAACATAGATAAAAAATAAGTTTAGTATAAGTTTAATTCTGATCTTCCTTTTCTTGATGCTTTTAATTCCATATATATGTATATTACTAGTAAGTCTGACAAAATTAAGATAATTATTTTTAAAAATGTTATTAAGACAAATCATTAAGAAAAATGTCTATCATAATTCTATAAAATATATTTTGTTCAATAAGAAATTAATTTATATACAAATTTTTTAACTTCATCATTTTTATATTCTTTTCTATGAAAATATACAATAAATGTATAAGAATAAAATCAAAGTAACATTAATAGATTTTTTGAACTTGCTGTCCATAAAATCTTATATAACATTTAATAATACTGATGTTTATAAAAAAATAATATTTACTCGTTTATTTAATCTTTCCTGAATTAAACAAATTGTTAAAAGTGTTTAGAAAAATGTAAATGATATGCTTATATAATTATGTAATCTGATGTAATTTTATTTATTTGCATTCTCTTCATTACTTCACTATTACTACTATTTTTTTCCAGACATCTCGGTATTCCTGTTACCTGTATTACTCGAAATTACATTTCGTTTTTTTAATATTTTATCAAAAGGAAAAAAATTGATGTAATATAAAATTGAAAAATTTATAAAACTGAAACTAGTACTATATTGTTATTTAGTCATGTGGTTTATGACAGGCAGTCAACATATAATATTTTACTAATCATCAATGAACATGTTTAATAAAACATTATTCTTGATGATTATAAAAGCAATAACTGAGGCAAATTCTTATGTAGTTTTTATAGTTGCAGATAATAAATGAAAACAAAAATAGACGCATCTCTGGTGAGCGGCTTTATAAATATTTTGGTCTTATAAGGATTACATTCAAAATATGCTCGAAATTCTAAGTGTTAAAAGATATAGAGACATAAATAAGAAATACGCATAAAACTATTTTATATATATACACACGCATAAACACATACTATCATAATGCATTATTATCACTTTTAGAACCAGTTCTCAGAGAATTAATACTGGTAATCAGCAATGAAATGAATATATAGACTTCTTTTATATAAAAAATATAATTCATGTATATTATGTCATAAGCTCTTTTAAAGAAGAGAAGGATTACTATTCTTGTATATAATTATACATTTTTGTAAATTCAAAAAGCTATAGAAATAAATCTGTTGTTAAAGATTGTTTATATTTCTTGACAATATTTTTCCTTTGTTAACCACAGTATTCCTTGTATATGTATATTCGTTACAATGCAAGTGTTAATTAATTAACAATATAAAATATTCCATATAACTTAAAAATATTTATTTGGAACATATTTGCAAGCAATATAGTTTAATATAATACTGATAAATCAATAAGTTTATATTAAGTAATTTAAGGAAAGTTTTCAATCTGGAAATTCAAAAAATTATGAAACTGAGAGTATATAGAGGATATGTAGGTATGTATTACATGATTTTTTTTCTGCTCAAATTCACACCAAAAGAGTAGAATTGACATCTGAAAATACAGCTATTTTTTGATTTTATTTTGTAGCTAGCAAATTGTAAAAGATAGAAAAGAAAGTTTTTAAATATAAGTTACTTATTTTAATTAGGACTATCATTTGATAAAAAATTTATTAATTGTTTATATAATTAGAAAAAAGTTATAAACAAAAATATTAATAATTTCTTCTAAAATTCATTTTTTTACGTAAAATATTGGTCTATAGTTTAACTAACTATGGAACAGCATAATACTTTTTCAAAGTACAAATATAAGTTTTGTTGTATTAATGAATTGTTCCTTGACAATCAAAAATTGTCATTGTATTGTATGTTTGCTCCATGACAAGTAGTATTTTTTTAACATTTAGAAAAGTAAGGTATTTTATATTATATACTTTTGTCTCTTATTACACAATAAGTTAATATATTAAATGGAAATAAAAGAAAAAGAAAGAACTGTCAGATATAATCTATCTTTATTAAAACTTTTCTTATGAAGTAAAAAATAGTAAAGTAAGAAATAATGTAAAAGTTTAATAAACAATTAAAGTATTTACATAACTTTAAAAACACATATGTAATGTGAATATTATGAATTATTCTTCATGGTTATAAAACTTCTCAAAAAAATGTTTAAAATATAGAAATTTGTTACATCATGCTAATCGTATGATAACATGATTTACATATATGGAACAATGAGGTGGATGTATAAAATCTTATTATGAAAAAGTTAAATGTATTCGATTTTCATACTTATTTGGCTTTTCATTAATTTCATTACTTTCATACTATGCATAAGCAAATACATGATAATACTTTGGCAATGAAAGTTGATTATAAATAAGAGACTATAATTAAATAATATTATTTCATGCATATAGATTAAAACAGCAATTAAACAATATCAAATGATTAAAAAATTGTATACTCAACTAATTTTCAAATGCATTCTTGTTATTCTTGATTTTTATGTTATTTTGAGCCATAGAATCTCCCTGACTTGACTTGTACCATGTATAATGGATTATCCTGTATAAATTGTTACTTTTTAAATATATATTTCATGCTATTACATAATAAATGTTAAAAGAACATTGCTTGTCATGTAGTATACATATAATAAAATAGAATTCAGACGTTTTTCAATAATTGAGGAATACAATAAAGTTTGTATTTGTATTTGTATTTGAAATACAATTTGTTTGCATATGTATTTAAAAAAGTATTATGCTGTTTCATAGTTATTTAAACTATCAATAAAGATTTCATGTGAAAAAAATGAATTTTAATTGTATAACTAATATATACATTTTTTACTAAATGATTAAAAAAAGTAACTTGTGCCTAAAATCTTTCTTTTCTATCTGTTACAGTTTGCTAGTTATAAAATACAATCGAAAAATAATCAAATTTTTAGATATCTATTTAATCCCCTTGGAGTGAGAATCTTGAAGTCAATTAAGAAAAAATACAAAAACTATAGAAATAATAACAAATGATGAATGCATATTACGATTCACTCAAGAAATCTGCACGATTTTATATTATAAAGGTTCTTAAAACAAACAGAATTTACAAATAAACACGAAATGTTCAAACAAACAGGTAACACGTTGTGAGAGACGTATAATAAGAAATGATTACCTTTCTTCTGGATGCTCATCATCGTGTTATTGGTTATATTTATAGGAGTTTCCATGGCAGCGACGTTTATATCAAAGAATCACTTCGATTTAGTTGTTCATATTACATAAAATCGTCCTCTACAAATGTGACACATCTTATATTAGTAAAGATAGTTCAAAACAATCTAATGCAGCAATATCTTCTCACACACTACACTCTCTGGAACAACCATATTAATACTGCCATTTACCATAGCGACTTTTAAGAAAGCATTGTTCGCATCTTCCTGTAGCGTCATCTAGGATATTTTAATTCTCTTATGGACAAATTATTTAATGACATCCGCGATAGCGGATTGGTTCATTTGATTCAGCAATAGGAACATTGTAATATTTACTACCGCCACTATTTTTTCTTAATTATATTTAAATTTTCTTTTCTTTGTTATTTTTTTGTTTTTATTCATTTATTTTATTCATTCCTTTGACTTTGATGTAAGAATGTCAACAATAAAGATAAAAAGATATTTTGTCTTGTATATTTAGCCATAGCAGCAAGATTAATTGATACGTGCGGATCCCACATTCTTTCATATAAATTCTTTTTTGTAGCCGCATATAATGTGTATTTAAGTACAAACGTAATATTCATATATGATCGTATTTCCACTTGTACTTATTTGAAGAAATGCGTTATATGTTAAATAATGCTAACGAAGTAAATGCTAATGCATGTTTGTGTGGGATACAAAATAAATATGTAGTTCATATTAAAATAATTAACACTATTTCAAATATTCCTGCATAACGCATTTATTTTAATGTTGTTCTATTGCTTATCTTTTCTTTAGAAATTTTATGATTTTTGAAATGTTCGCTATTTTTCAACAAGAAGTTAAATTGGACAGAAATTACTTGTTGATCTTTTGTAGCATGTAATTTCATTTTTGGTATAAATTTTAAGTCAATCTACGGAACTATATAGAATCTTAGACTATAAAATTGATGTACATTGATGCGTATACGTACGAGTTTATATAAATGTGTATGAATTTACATGCGTAAAGGTATATTATCCATAAATTCTAGTAAAAGATCTTTTTAAAAGTCTACATAAGATTATCTTTAAGTCTATATAAGATTTAATTAAAAAAAATTTTCAAAATAGCTTTCCTTTCGTATGAGAATTATTTAATATAGATACGATTTTTTCCAAAAAAGTAATATTTCTTCAAAGATCGGCAACGGCTACTTTTAATCTTTTAAATATATTTTTGATCATCAAAATAAAAAAAGAATTATGAATAAGAAAAATTATAGGAGATATTATGTAAACTCATATGTTAGGTGGTTAACCTGTTTAAGCTTAGTACACATGTTTGTATATGTGGTTGTTGAATGAAGGTGGCGCTTTCGTAGTGCAAAACGATAGAATTCTTATTTAAGAAAAGGTATAGCGTATAATTTACACAGTTTTACTAATTTTGGTAAGATCATTCTACTTTAACATGCATATATTTTGTAAATATCATATTAATGAATGAAATCTCAAAACAGTGTCAGTTTAATTTTTATTGTCATTAATACATTTTTTAAATATATTATATAAATGTCTTTATGCGTAATAACGTTTACATTTTAATATATTGCAGAAGTTCATATTGACTTGTAAAATTATTATTGCAAAAATGATGATTTTAATTGCAATTGTATATTCTTATTATTATAATATTGAAGTTAAAAAATCAATGTTATAATAGTGATTATTAACGTAATCATATTCTTAACATATTTAATATTCATTTACTAAAATATTTTCAGTGAAAATGGTAGAAGAAATTCATAAGAAACTTCAAACTGAAAAAAAGAAATTTAATCAAGTTCAAAAAGGTAAGAAAAATAAGTAATTTTCTTATATATTTTTAAGATGAGTGCAATCAAAGTAATATCTAAACAATTATTTCATGAATTTATTATAAATAGATTTTCTTTCTACCAGATTATAACAAAGCACTTCGTACAAGACAAATACTCGATGGGCAGCTGAATGAAAACATTGCCGTTAAAAAGGAATTAGATCTTTTGAAGTCTGAAGATGAAGTTTTCAAATTAATCGGACCATGTCTTATAAAACAACATTTAGAGGAAGCTAAACAAAATGTTGCTAAACGTATGGACTACATATCATCTGAATTGTAAGTCAATGATTGAATAAAGTTTATTTATAATAAGAATATTTAACATAAAGTAAATTACTTTTTTAGGAAGCGTACAGAAGAATTAATAACTACTTTGGATAAAAAGCAGGATGTTCACAGGGAAACTCTTGAAAAATTGCAGCAAATGTTCCAGCAAGCTCAAATCAAAGCATCGCTTGCTGGAACAAAAACATAATATAATATTTGCTTTTTAGCTTGACAATACAATGATTGGTTTATGAAATATTAAGATTAAAAAACATTTACTTATGTATGATTAAGCAGATTGTTATTCAAATCTCAAAATTAATAATAACTGTTTTTAAAATAATGTATGATAATATTTCTGTTTACATTTTACTGTACGTAACATCAAGTGCAAATCAATAATATAATTATTCAGAGTATAAGATTATCTTGTATTATTTTTCTTCAATCAAATTACTGTCAATTATATAGGTTTGTTTTAAAAAATATTTAATTAGAGGTTAGGTTTATTTAAAGGCACTATTTTTAATTAAACGATAAATTTAAAAATTAAATATAAATTTTAAAATTAATAATAGGTAGGTTGTTATATTATTATATTCATCAATTATGATTATTATATTGATAAGTTCCTGTATAGATATTTGCTAAGTCATTGATAAATTTTTCCCGTAGATATTTTCTATCTCGTTGACGAATTTTTAGATACCTACTAAATTATTTGCAAATTTTAATTGTAGACACTAATTAAATTATTAACGAATTTCAATTTTGGATATAAACGAACAGTCATTTATGAATTTTTCCTGTAAATACCTAGTAAGTCGATGACAAATTTTTTCAAAATATACTTATTAAGCCATTGACGAACTTTTTCTGTACATACCTATAAAGTCATTGACGAACTTTTTCTGTACATATCTATTAAGTCAAACGAATTTTATATGATTTTATATAACAGCATAAGTAAATTATTGATAAATTCTTCTTTAGATATATCAAGGAAGTTAGACATAATCTATTATATGGCAATAGATAAAATTCATTGATGAAATTAAACACATGTTGATAAATCGTTAAAAAATAAGTAGGGCAGCGATAATATATGGCTTTAAAATTAAATAAAATTTATGATAAAAAATAAATTGGTGAAAATAAAAATATTAATAACGTTAAAAGTATTGTTGAAAACGTAACAAAATAAAACAATTTTATAACGCTGTCACTTATAAAAAGGTTCTTATCCAAATGGGCACGATCCTGAAGAATGGAGGTCGAGTGTTGAAGGTCGAAGGAAGCGTAGGGGTGAGTTTAGTCCTTCACAGTGTAATCCATAGTGAAGGCCATGACATGTATTGGCGGCGGGGGCGACGACGCAACTACTACAAATAGGCCGTAGCTCCGTCGAAAGCATCTATCCATGCGAGCGGACCAGTCGCGTGCTCCTTCCTTACCAGGTGAGTAATCCTTTCAACCTAGGAATGTAATACACTTCAAAAGACTTTCCACCCGTTCGTGTTTCATCGGCTTAGTCAGGAATTCTTTTATCAATACGTAAAATTCTCCGTCTCGTGTAAGTATTTCTATATTCTTCATATCTGAATTTAAAACACGAACATCCAAAAATAGTTTAAATAATGTCGGTTAAAAGAGATACAAAGATTTAGTAAAAGAAAAGTTTCATATGATTGTTCATAATTTTGTTTTGAAATTTTGGGATATTTCCAATCAAATCAGTGAATATTATAAATAGGTATTTAAATATTTAATCGAGAGATTATTGCATGAAATAAACATAATCCTATGAATGAAATAAGCACAAAATTCTATGCCACTGAGTTTGCAAAAAATGCGATATATGTTCTATGCGGAGGAATGTATTATATTTAATAAACATATACACATTTATACGAAGTGATGAATAACTAATATCACGCAATGTATACGTAGCCCAGTTTTTTTTCTTCTACTACTTTTTTATGCACTGTTCTAATCAATCATGTAATCAGTTCTATAATTTCTCGAAAGACAATATACTTGCAGAAAAACGCGATTCTTATTAATATTTATTTCTTTAATTGTATAAGTAATAAATTCATAAAAAACATTTTTCCGCATTTTTCTCGATCGTTTTCTTATTTTATTCGAAGGGGTGTGTTGAATGGCCGCGTGGATATGGCAGGGGAATATTCTGAGACGACGTATGTACCGGAAATCAAGGATGCCGAGAGCAAAGAGCGAGAAAGACAACTCGTTCAAGAGGGCACGGCTATGTGGAAGCACCAGAAGGAGGAGTTTCTACGTCAAAAACATCGAGAACAACGAGAAGTATGTCTAAGGACCGGATCGTTTCGTCGTAAATAAAAGTTTACCTATTGGCCGATTTCGAGTACCATTTACATCACTATCTTTTGGCCATAGCACCCTTTTGGCTATAACCTCCTTTCGCAGCTTATTGTTCTTGACGATAGAAAATTATGAATTCTTTTTACTTTCTTTTGATTTATTGCAGTATAAAAACGGTACTCTACGGTACTCTTTATCTATCTGTCTACGTTAAAATTTATCAATGATTCGTATCGAAAAATTCTCCAATATTTTTATATATGTGTTTATATAAAATTTTTCCCATTAACGAGCTTTACGATAGCAGTATATACATAGTTTGGTGCATAGATACCTACTCGCTCGACACAGATATTTTTGAGACTCATTACATATTCGATTCTGTTCCGATCGTTCCTAAGACACGCAAGTTCGTGCCCCGTATGAAATGGTAACGACGTCGAAAACGATCGACAAGGATGCTTTCGGAATTCCTACCGGACTTCATTTGCATAATCCGAACGAACAATTCCGAGAAACATGCCACGAAGGATACGCCGCTGACGTAAACTACCCTCGAACTTGATTGTACATCGAAAGACCATTCGAGAGGCCTCGCTAGATGCATATCTTAAGTTTAATTTATCGATGTTATATCTGTCAATGTTTTTTCAAGCTCGAAAGTGGATCGATAGAGAGACAGGGTAAATTTGCGAACGTATGAACGATAATATCTAGAACGATAATACGTAAGATCGGAGGTTTGATAAAGCGATGGAGAAAAAGAAAAAAAAAGATACGATATTACAAAGCTTCTCTTTATTTATTCTTTTCCTTTTTACGTTATTGCGCAACTCCTACGGACGAGCGAAGAAAAAAGAAAGTGTCTGAGAAGGAGAGCGATAGTAGAGCGACCATCACGAAGTTTTCTTTAATTTTCTTTGCAGTTGCGAGAGATTCTGGAGAACTATTCGCCTTGGGGTAAACCAGGCGGTGGTGCTCCGTGCCCAGCAACCTTAAGAAAGAAAAATGTTCTTTTGGAGCCATTGGAACCCATCAAGAATCATATGGCTGGTCAGGTAAACGAGGAAAGACTCGATTTAAGATGCATGCTTATTTATAATTTTAAATTTTGCACTAGATTCTTTTTCTTTTTCTCTTTTGCTCTGGATGCACATAAAATGATATGTAAAATTATTACAAGGACTGAATATGTTATTCGTCTTTTCAAAAGTCTGCTACAAGTATTCCCGATATTAAACCGTGGAATAGTTTTGTAAACTTATTCTTGCAATTATGAAAACGATTATTATTGCAAAACTCAAAAAGGAATAAGAAAGTAACCTTCACGATGGATCAATACAAGTTTGCCAACGTTTGTACTGATAATATGTTCGTGTGGGTTTGCGTGTACGATCCTTTTGAAGGTGTTCCGTATACCTCTGACCTCTGAATTTCAACGAAGACCAATCGAAAACCGATTGTGACACGATTCATTTCAATATCTATGCCAAAGACTATTTCATTGGAAAAGCTTTCATAAGCGAGTAACGTGGTATCTAGTTCCCTTTGAATTCACTATTTTATCGAAATGATCAAAGTCGATATTAAAAGCTTTTGTAATTTACTACCCACATACACGCAGTGAGATATTTGAATGGAAATTTCTCAATATCTTTATTATGAATATACGATGATATTTCTTTTTAATATAAAGAAATATCTCTCAAGCTTGATTTTCTTTGATTTTTTTTTCATATTTCTTTTTCATAAAAATGTAAGCAAAGAAGAGATATTCAAGTGTTTCCATTAAAATAACGAATTTTGCACGTTTGTGTATATACATAATTTTTTTTTAATCTAAGAGAAAAATTATTTCTCTTGTATGTCGTATCTGTTACGAATCAGTACTTTTGTGAGTGAGCACGCAGAAAAATTCGTAATGGACTTTCCTTGTAGATGAAAATGATACATTTTTGCAGTGGCAATAATTTAAAGAGAAAAGAAGCGAGAGAGTGAGAATCGAGAGATCAGGAGATGGTGAAGGGGAAGAAATAGAGAAAGAGGAGAAAGACAAAGCTTGGTTCTCTCGAATCCTTCCGGTCGAATTTTGGATGCACGCCCGACTTCACCAATCACATAGAAAAGCCTGTGAAACGAAAAAGATCAATACGTCCATGTGAATTTTCGAACAGATATCAAAGTGAATCTATCCTGATCGATTAGAAACCACAGAGTAAATTTAAAAATATAAATCTTTTATTTCATGAAAATTAGCCGATCGTGCTTTTAGCAAATTAAATTCGTACATTACCCACCGACGGATTTAATTATAAATTTCTCACAGGATCGATTAAGAACGATCGTGAACATGATTAATACAGTTTGTTGTATGTTATATTAATTTTCAAATATATCTACTTTATGTTTATGTAGACACGTCAGTTCGTTATCAGCTGGATGTGAGAAAAGTATTTCCATGGACAAAATCATGGGTTCGTTTTTTCATTTTATAAACGATAAAAATTATGATCTAATCTGTAGTTACTTATTGGGATCTTATATGATCTATAGTAAAAAGGAATTACACGAATCGAATACGAAAATAATTTCCAAGAGATGTTCGTTACATAGATACAGCCAAAAATAGTGTGAAATTTGAAGGTATAATATTCAAAGTGCAACATATGGATCATGTTGTGAATCTTGTGGTGAAATCATGTGGTGAAGCTTGTAGGGGATATATAGAAGATAACAATAAAGGGGATTTCTGGAGGAAACGCCTTTCTTCCTACTTGCTAGAAGTTCCCAAGAGGAGCGAGCTCGTTGCACGAGCTTGCAAGTGCACGTAGCTAACATAAGCACGCATTCTTGCACGAAACAACGATTTCGCGTAGTAGGTATACACCGACACGGTTATGTTGTACATAGTCAACGGAAGCGAATTCTGGTGAAGCTACTTAATATGCCTCGCCGGCGCGTACTTAGTCTGTGCAGTCCTGGCCTTGGGGTCGTCCTGGTCCTGGAGGACTTCCTTGGAGAGATCCGAAGTTACTGGGTGTGCACTTTCTGGAATCTATGGTACGAATTGATTGATAAAAAAGAAGTTACACAATTTTAACAAATCATTTTAGTTTAGATCGAATAATTTAATTGATTTATTATTTATTTATAATTTCTTACCATTTTATATTTATATACGTGATAGATATTTAGATGATTCAGAACTCGCGTAAGAAAGAGAATTTTTCTCGGAGATAAGTTTGTTACAAGCTGAAAATAAAATGATTAACGTGATGCTTTTTCACACCGATTTCATTAAGTGAGCTGAGATTTTCAAAACGGTTTAGTTAGAACTGAAAGAGAAAAAGGAGAGTTTGAGAAGAAAAAGAAGAAGAAAAAGGAGATGGAACGTACTTCGTTGCCTCGGTAGAAATTGGTTCGTACGTGATTTTATGTTGAAAGACACGACAGTTTGGTATAGGGAGAACAAGCTAGAACGACGACGAAATTACGTTGTCACGGGAACAGGAGCGTTCTGTGTCGGCTGGTACCAGCAAACTTGTTCAGGCAACTCATACTATACCAACGCGAATCAGATTGGATCGGTGAATGTGCTATCCCGGAAGCTTCCTCTTCAACATATATTTTCTAACAAAGAATTTTCTGCGTCTGTACATTTTATTTATTACAAAAATTACTATACTTTTCGTTTATAAAGATATTTAATCTTTCAACATTTCAAATTCTCAGTAGATGAACGGCTCTTTGCTAAATATCTGGACAATTTAGAAATACGTACCAACGTACATTGGTATCAAGAGAAATTCATCTTTGCGCGTGATAATTACCGGAAGGTGCGCTTGCTCCTCCTCAGATGAATATTTCATCTCCTATCATAAATCTCAAACACGACTACCGCAACATACCGTGCGAATGGCTAAACTTGATCGCTTATTTCACGGTCATATCGTTGAATCATACTGCGTTAATATAAATCGTAAAGGATAAAATTATTAGTTTTGCCATTGAAGGCTTGCTTGTTTTCTCTCATCATTATCTTTTGAAATCTGCAACAAGTAACTCTCGCGGTGTAATTTCGTTTTTAATTACCTTTTAATTTATGATAACTCTTGTAGAACTGTTATTCGTTGTATACATTCGTACGTATATACTTGCACATCAACACACACACGTACATTCGTATTAGGTTAATTGAATTTCATTTAAGCAAGTGATAAACGACGGTAAGATCGGCTATTACTCATCGTAGTCATTCTCTAGGATATGGAGAAACTATCCCTCCTAAAACATCTTGGATATAGATATACTATTACAAGGCACATGAGAAAAAATATAAGAAAACGAAAAGGAAAGAAATAGAGATAAAAAAACGAAGGGACGAACCGATGTTTTTTTTTCGCATACTATCCCATTACTACGAATTAACAATTGTATAAAGTAAAAGTTAGTAGGTATAAAATTAAGAGTTTACTAAGCTTTCTGGGTCATTGCAGCATCTTCTTTTTCGAGAAATATCCTCGTAATCGCACGATCTTCTTCTCTTCTTATATCGGTTTTCTTGGCATTGGTCCCTCGTCGTCGCTTCGCATCGGTTCATAGCTTTCGCTGCATCGACGATACTACAGTAGAGAGCTAAACTCTTAATTTTTAATTAACCAACCAACCATCTACTGGCTTCTCTTCGAACGGCAAACACATAACCGTGCCACGTTACTACCTAATTGAACGATCCAACCGGCGCCTTAGCAAGCTTGCGAGCTTGCAAGCCGGAAAGTTTAAACTGAAATTTATTAGCAAGCTCCACTTCGACTGAAGTTTACTTCTTATTGCGCGTAAGCAAGCTTACGTTAACTAACGCGGACTCTACCTTTATCTCTCTCTTTCTCTGTCCATCTATCTTCTATCTTGTTTCTCTTTCTTTCTTTCGTTTTCTATCTGTCCCTCTCCCTCCCTCTCTCTCTCTCTTTCTCTCTCTCTTTCTCTCTCTCTTTCTCTCTCTTCCTCCCTTTCTCTTTATATACATACTTTGTCCCGCGAACTCACTTACATGAACGCGTACTGTCCGTGGATTTATGGTGGGTTTTCTGTTTTCTCGCTAATAAACTGGCCAGCTTTACTTTAACTAGCCAACTAACTAGACCGACGTTGATGGATGAACGGGACGAGTAGATTCGCGAGTTAAGCTGGATCAGGATGGGGTGGTGGTGAGTGCGACGAACGGTTAGGCGATCATTTTTCTTTTCGAACACTGTCGCGCGAGACTCCCTTCGCGACTTTTTACTTGCTATGAAAAGTCAAACATTTTCAAAATTATTCGATGGTCTTTTACAGGGATGGACTAGTGATTCGACGATCCAGAGGCTTTTTCATAAAAGGGACATCGATCCTCTGACTATTCCAGACATGAATAAATTCTTCGATTCGAATGTGGAACCGGGTAAATCTAGAGATTAAATCTTTCTTTCTTTGACGTCTCTCATTTTGATATTGAAATCGTTATTCTGTTTCTCCAGATATTGGATCGCATTTACAATCGTCAAGGGATACAAGAAGTCTCTACAACGAGGAGGTCCAGGTGTATAAGCTCACTGGTGGTGTAGAATTAGTGCCGTTGTTAACTAGCAGACGTTATCATTCACAACCGCAGACTGTTCGCTATCATGTGACTGACATTACTCGGCCAGGATATACGATAGAATCGTAAGTTATTTCCTGTAATAGTTTTAAGGTTCATCATGTTCGATATTGAACTATCTTCGAGAAACGATAGTAGCGAAAATTAATTTGCAATTATAATATGAATACAAGAGTATTATGAATAATAAGCGAGCATCTCCATTTCATATAACTAGGCATTCACGTAGAAAGTTTAACGTGTAAAAGTTTTGCTTAATAGTTAAAGCAGATGCTCGGAAAGCGAAAGAGTGTCCAGTTCGAGTCTCAGTTCAAACTAAGCCGATAATCCATTTTTTTTTACGAATCCTACAATAAGTATAAGAGCACTTTTATTATATTATATTTCCTTTAATTATACTTCCAATGTAGTATCTCTTATAGAAATTATTTTGACCACATCCTGCATTGATTTTTTAAAATGATTATTTAGAAATTTATTACGTACCTACTTTTTTAGAATATTTCTCATCTTTTTCGGAAGCTCGCAAAATCCATATACTAAAGATCTTTCCTCTTCTCTTGATCGTTGAATTCGTTCTATTTATCCTTGGAGAATAACGCGTAGAAATAGAATGATTTTTTCGACGTGACATCTTAGCATGGCTCGGACGAGGTGACGAGGTACGACTAGGGCGGCATAAACGGTTAGGGCTCGCACGAGACTCGAGGGATGTAACTACATTATAGGTAATCAACCTATTGACCTGAATGCGCTGACCTCGACAGCTTTACCTGCCTGATGCTGTTTCATCCCCCTTGTGTATTAACGCTCTAGTCTCGTCGTCGATATACTTTTCCGGAGGGTATCAAATCGGATGACGTTGGTCGTTTCCTAGAAACGCGGCGAAAACCTCCCTTCGTTGAGAAATCATATTGAACATTCTTGTAATGAAATAAAAAGGAACATGGCGACATTGCTGTTATCTTTCTTATTTCTTCGAATATTATTCGATTGTTAATCATTTCTAACGAATCCTACATTCTTTTAAAATCGATATTATCGGAATGATAGTCCGATAAGAATATCAAAATTTATTTATCTTTTCATTATAATGTGTCGAGATTTTTGAATATTCATATAATTTTTTTATACAGCCTGCGTTCACTCGAAATTTCTAACAGAAAATACATCGCAGAGCTTGCTGAACAGATACGATGGAAACAAGATAAAGCATGCGTAAGTTACTATATGATTTAATAATGATATAAAGAAAAAAAAGAATCGTAAAAAGCATCGAATAATTTTCTAATAAATAAGTTCATGGAATTTTCATTATAGGAGGAACGTCGTGCGGAACAAGAAAGCTGCAGACGACATTTTGATACCTGGCGAAAGCTCTGGGGTAGACCGGGTCACGGTGCACCCATAGATCATGTTCACAGAAACAATCTTTATAATATTCTTTATCGTCCAGTTATCTATTGAATTTCTACGCAACGTGCCTCGTGACTTGGAAACTTATAAACGAAATTGGATACCAATGGTATTAGAAGGCTTTCACTGTTATCTTCGTTAATATTTCAATCCACTTTTGTATATATCATCGAATTAGATCTGAGAGATTAAAAATAACGAAAAGAAAAAAAAATAAAAGAGAATGTTTGCATATCTTGTCGAAGAACAGTCACGAATCGATAAACATTTTAAAGATTAGATTCTTCTCGTATTATTACGATGGATCTTAGAGAAATAAGATAAATCTGAAAAAGATACTTTGTTATCGTTTATATCATGGTGAATTGCCCGGAGATGAAAAAGCGACAAGTTTGTCAGCAGCCTATTAAATTTTATGAAAGTCTGTCGCTAGGAGCTACGAAGAGACGTTTGATATACCTGCACCGTGGGACGTAGATCGCGATTGACCAGACCTCAAAGGAGCAATCTCGAGAGGGGATGCAGCTCTATCGACGGGTATTAAATTTCATGAACGCCAAGGAACGATCATTTGAATATATGTATGGCCAGGGTTAGAAAGTGCCCTTAGTCGTTGTTGTCAAAAGAAACTGCGTCCATGTTCGAAGGTGGAATTTTAAGTTCTCTAAGAATTCTTCTTGTCGCGTAGAAGAATATATCCGATCATAAAATTAAATTTTTATTTTAAATAGTGATCCTTGTTACAGAAAAGAACATTTTGTGACATTGGAAATTTTACATAAAGGGAGCAATGCGAGCATATAAATTAACAAAGTTTGAGCGATTTCTTTTTAAATAATATTCAAGTACGATAGATATTGCTAGAAATTGACATTTTTTCGATAATTAATAGTTTCATGGTGGTCGCCTATACTCGATTCACTCGATGTATGTTAATTAACATGGACGTTAGACCGAGAACGACAGAGAGTTGTCTTACTAATGGAGTCATAATTTAATTGGGCTTACTTCAAGCGATATGATTCTCGGTTTGTACCTTCAAAGGGTCAAGTGCCTCTCTATTTTTTCTCCCTTCTCCCTAGTAAAGAGAAACAACGAATCCTTTTCTCTTTTCTGTTTTGCTAGAAAAGCGACTCCTGGTAACCTCGCACATTCTCTGTAGTCTCACATTTCCCCCGCCTTTATTCCCCTACAGACCTACTCTCACTCTCTTCTCCCCCCCTTTTCCCTTTCCTCATTCAGCGGTAGCGCGTTGTGCAGTTATACGAGCAACTACTGTGTTTTCCCTATTGTCTGACTATTGTGTACCCGTTACCACTATGCGTCGGACCGTTTGTATAAAGGGTGATTCATTTTCAGCGAAATATCAGTTCCTGCGCCTCATGAATTTCAACTCTCGCAAGCGCGTAAAACCACGCGTCCTGTATATTTATCTCTCTTGCTACGCGTATATCCCTCTTATTCTCTCTCTTCCGTATCCATTTCCCGTTACGTCTTCCGTTCTCTCTCCCTATCACATTACACCTCTATCTTCTTTTACTATCTATGCGTTTTCTAGCGAGATGACGTTAGCCCGATTACTGCCCAGCGCGTGGTTTTGTGCAAGCGAGAATCACCGGACCTCGTTACACACTTTTCCTTCCTTTTTCCATCCTAAATAATTCTCTTATCACGATTATTGTGAACGGATGAATCGTAAACCGCATTTAAATTTCTCGGTTCTTGCTCTGAAGCATAGATAACGAGTGATATTGGTATTTAATAGATTAGATGCGTATTAGATTCTTTATTATAATAGATAAGCAGGATTATACTGACGAAAAGTCGTATACAACGAATAAATGTATATTATGATTATATTTCAAGATTTTATTCATTAGAAATATACTTGTAATCTTTACAATAATATGATTACGACGAATGATCCTCGTTTGCGATGATTCAATCGAATGTAAAGTTTTAAACAAGAGGATCGATTTAAAGTGTAGATTTGAAAAGGAGGATGGACGGATAAGAAAAATTTGCGAATCTCGAAAGTTGCAAACCGATATCAGAAATCCTCTAGAACATCCGCGCCCACCGAAGGAATAATATTTGTTCGCGGTTCCATCGTGATGTACGTGACGTGATAGTAGATGGTCTATATGGATATACCTTCATTTACGTATGTATGCGTGCATGACGTGGAACTCATATTCGTTCTTTCTCACGGAATTTCCGTTCGGCTAGACAACGAAGGATAGTATGGCAAATTTGAATTTCGATATGCTGCGACGACTTCTCTTTTTCCAAGATTTTTTTTTATGCAGATCTTTATCAAATCTTCACAGTATTGAAACAGGATTGGAAAGTTATTTTGTCGATTTCTTTATTCTGCTGTATGTACTATTTCAATAATTAAAATAAAAATATCTAATACATAAAACACTTAGAAATATGTTTAGTTAAATAAGAAATAGTAAATATGAATGTTACTGTCATTATCAATTTCAACGAGAAAATTTTTCGATATCTTATTTAATCTAGTTGCTTTCGCAAATAAAAGAATCAAAACTATTTTTTATCAATAAGGGACGAAGCGAGAGATGCTCTGTGAATGTTTACTGTTCATGCGTGACTGAGAGGTATTCATTCTATATAGTAAAAAAACGTGATCGTTTCGGGTCTCAATAGTAGCAATGTGTACCGAGTCGAAGAGGAACACAGAGAAGAGAAAGAGAGATGGATATAGAGAAGCGAAAAATGCGAAATCTTGTTATCGCGGTGACTCGAACGACGAGCTATTCATCAAGCGTATCATTTCCACATAGCTCGGCCGCGGTGCAGTGATGAATGCGCGCTCGTAATTAGAATTTTTTTCGGTATATACAGGGTGTATATAAATTATAAGTACAAGCCTTATGGGTAGATAGAAATCATTGAAAAAGGAACACAAATGCTTAATTATAAATATGTTTTTAAATCAATCGTTTCAAAGATATGTAAATATTTTATACGATTACATGTGTTATAAATAATATAAAAATGAATTTGTTCGAATGTATCATTGTTAAATATTTACTTATGAGTTTTTATCAAATTAAAATTTTCTGATACGTTTATATTTTTAATGAATTATATCCAATTGCAACGTTTGTATCTACATTTTATGTACACCTTGTATGTACATATAAGTGTATTGAGGCGCTACACTTTGTGAAAAAAGTGAGAATGGGAGAGAGGGAGAGAGAGAGAGAGACAGAGAGAAAGAAAGAGAGAGAAAGAAAGAGAGAGAGAGAGAGAGAGAAATAGAGAGAGAGAGAGAGAGAGAGAGAAATAGAGAGAGAGAGAGAGAGAAATAGAGAGAGAGAGAAATAGTGAACTATGGAAATTTCAACGAACACGTTACTCGTCATCGGTTTTAATGGCAAATACCGTTCATTTTTTGAGTTGCATCGATTCGGCCGATTGCTAGGATTAATATTCAGCAAATTGTTGCGAGCCAAGCGCGTAATATTGCCGCTTCGATTGCCTCCCTTTCCTGCTACTACCACTTTCACCTTTTTTATCTTTCACGTTCACCATCCCCATAATTATCTTTCTCCCCTCTTATTTTCTTTGCCGTCCTTCTCTGCTTTTTAGCGCCAACCTGCCGCTTTTAATCGCCTCCTCGTATTTCGCGCCCTTTTTTAAAGTTACAGGGTCGCGTGGTGATTCCGAGGACAATTCTCTCTCTCTTTCCTAATTCGCCGTGGTTTTTTATCCAATATAGCCGTGGTACGGTTGAACACGGCTATTCGAAAAATTGTCTGGTGAATGCTCGATAAGCCGTGCGAAGAACACACGTATTGCTCAAAAGTACATACACGCAGTATAAATACCCACACATTCTTATCAATAACAATATGTAACTGTATGTGTCTATGCGCGAATTTGTGTGTATGTTGGTCGTTGCATCGTTCAAATAAAAAAAAAGAAAACGTGCCTTTTTCAGCTTGCTCCTAGTTTTTCCTCGTTTTTATACCATCCGTTTTTCTACTCTACGAAATAATTACGAAGGTCTCCGGCAGGTAGTGAATTTTAAGCGGGATCGGAATATTTTACCGGATGAACGATAAATTGGATGTACATAAATCTTCGATGAAGAGATATTCAGAAATTTCTTTTTTCATTTTTTCTTTTAGTATTATCGGAATATTTAATGCAAGGAAAAGTGTTAATACCGTTTATACTGTTTAAGAGAAATTTTATGCGAATCAGTTCTTTTCTTTCATTTTCTACGTCAACTTTAATAGGATAGAAACAGAAAGAGAGAAAGAGAGAAAGAGAGAAGGAAAAAGATGGGTTTTACGAGCTACTCGTCGCACAAACTTTTTTCATATCTCTGACATTATATCGCGCTACCTAAAGTCTCACTCAACTATACTATTCCATTGCTGTCTCTCTTTCGTTTTCTCTCTGTATAAGCGTAGCATCGTAGATACAGATACACGAAACCAGGAAACCATTCTCAGTTTCATTTTGAGCATTCATTGTACAATTTAGAATATACTTCATCGATGTAAAAAAGGGTTTGCTTTTCACAAGATCATGAAAGGGATTCGAACTTCCGAGGGAAGCAAAATTATGACTCTCTTCGTTTTTGTTGTGGCGAAGCCGTTTAACACTGAAGAGTAATATAGGTGCAACTAGGACGACTCCTTTATATGGAAAGCAGCATATGGAAATTTTCGCAGGTGTCGGTTTATTGTCCCATTCGCGAGTGAAACGACACACAGGGGAATCATCCCTCTATATACTTATGCGAGAAGGGTTGCAACGCCGGGAGATTTGTCACGGTACATGCTCGCACGAACTCGATTGGATTAAATTGTTCCGATCTACCGTAACTTTAAACTCCATCTCCCGCCATCTCTCTCTCTCTCTCTCTTTTTGGACGAGTTTAACCGATTTTATTGAAGAAGATTCTTTATCGTCTTGCACATATGTTCATATTTTATAATACCAATGATTTAGTGTATGATTTTAAATAAAAATTTTTAAAACACCAAAATTTCTTAATTTTCTTGATTATTCTCTTCTATCGAATGTATCGAACCGGCTGACGGAGCTTAACCTCGGAAGCTTTACACGTCACCCTTTCGAAGTCTTCGATAATCTCGACATAATAATCCGGCGGTCCCGGAGGCGATACGAGTAAGCTCGTTCTGTACGTTGCTCTAGAATGCATAGAAATGGGAAATCTCGCGATTCCTGGCAATAAGATCCGAGCGTGATCGCCGAAGGAACTCGTAGAATTGGCTGGAGACCAAGTCGTAGCTCGGTGTTACTTATCACGTTTGCCAAGTTTCTTTTTCCTTGCTTCTATTTCTTTTTCTTTCTTTTTCTGTTTTCGATTTATCTCTTTCTCTCTCTCTTTCTCTCTCTCTCTCTCTCTCTCTCTCTCTCTCTCTCTCTCTCTCTCTCATAAATGCATCAAGTACTACGATCGTGATAGGTATCTCGTTTTACACTGAATAATTCACGATCTTTTTTAACAAAAAAGCAAAATGCAGTGTGACAGTCGGTGAAGTAATACTATAAAAGATTTTTCTCTGTTTTCACTCCATAAAGATTACATTTAAAAAGTGCGATAATCTCGCATGCATTTTGTTCGTATTTACTCTCCTACAAAAAGAAGAAAAGAGATTAAAGATAGCGCTCGAATCCTTCCTTCATCAAATCCTAAGCTGAAAACATACTCGACTTTCCAGTGCTAATACTTTCGAATAATTCAAGTCGACGTTTTTTGTTAATTTCAATTGTGAACTATTTTTCATTAAATGAATGGTGGTGCAGGATATAAATCGATTTCACTTCCGGGCTTTAACGAAGAGTTCTTTACTATTTTTTTGTACGATATGAGATATGAGATGTGAGAGTTGCGTGGAAAAAGAATAGGAATGATTTCTCCTTTTTTCTTTCTCTTTTTCCTTTTTATTCATTCACATTCGATGAAAGCCTTTAGATGGGTGATTCGGTTGTTTCGAGAATCACGAGCATTGTGTTAGGCAAAAGCATTGAAGTAATAATTCATTATGTGTATTGCTCGAATATTTCCATTCATCTATGTGCGTATGTGCATTTTTATTTATATTGGTTTTTCCTAAACGTACATATGTACGTTTGGAGAAGAGAATGTTATTTTCGGGATTAAGTCAAAAAGTTACAACTATGAAGGCTGCGTCTGCGCTTGAAATCACGTTGGAATGCTTTGACCGCGAGAGCTTTCGAGCTTTTCGTGGTGCTTGCTTACTGTGGCTTCCCTGAATCAACTCTTACTCTTTCACCGATTCGTATGTACGATTCAAGAGCTTCCTTTGTCATTTTAATACCTTTCGATGTTATTTGTTACGGCAATGAAAAGTCAATGCTTTATTTTCCGAGGAATTCATGATTTAAGATTTACGTGAGAATATTTTATCGATTGTAGATAAAAAATATAGATTATTCCGCGTTTGATTTTAAACTTGTGAATACTAAATTTCAAAGGTTGTTAGGAATTTTTGAAAAGAAAATTAAATTTGCTTTTGTTATTTGTTGCAATGAAAGTGTAATGTATCTGTTACGTTTTGTTGAGATTTTTCTTAAAAACAGAATAGGATCTCGAGACTTTACTCTTCGCCTACCGAAACGACCGCCTGGAAGAAGATTTTGAGTTTTTCGGCCCGCTCGTAGAATTAAGCGCCTTGCGGTCTTTTTGTTCCATGTCTTGTATACCATGTTTTCTCGTAAACTCAACCCTTCTTTCTTCTTTAGTCGTCGACCTCGCGTTTCCTTACAATTACCTTTCGCATCATCCTCTTATAAATAAGAGAAAATCATTTAATATTGTTTCTACTTTTTTCTTTCCTTATTTTTTCTCTTTTTCTCACTCATTTGTCTTTTATCCTTCACCGATTTTCTTTATCACTTTGCGTTCGTATTCGACGATAGGGTGCATGGCAATGCATATTTCATAACCTATAGAGTTCATTGTTCCGTCAGTGGTAGCTTCTATTTCTTTGCTTCATCCTTTTCCACCCTTTATACTTTGTCGACTTACCACCTCTATCGTCAATACTGCCTTTTATACAAGCAACTTCTTCGACAGAATATGACAGTTTAACTTGCTGGAAAGCGCCAACCCAATCTTTATCCTTCGACCTTATTTCACTCTACACTTTATGTCTAGTATCTCCTTTCAAAAATACCATTCTCGATTTCCTCCAACAATTTGAATCCAATGAATTCTCAAGCAAGGTCTCTTTTTTTTTTATTTTCCTTAAAGCAACAGCTGCCGGTTCTTTAATTTTTAAGCGACTATCCTTTTATAT